TATATATATATATATATATATATATATATATGTATCTCGTGTGGATATGTTATAAATATAAATATATGTATATTCTGCGCAAACACATTTAAAATTATTATTATTATTATTATTATTTTTTTTTTTTTCGTTATAGCATGTATCAATATAATCTGTTTATTTATAGCTTATCTTCAATACGACACATATGCCCATTTGAGATAGATGATATATGATATGATTACATGTTTACGACAAGCGTCAATGGAATCTTTAATAACCCAGTATTTTAATTTCGATAAAACTCATTTAATTTGCTTATAGTACGTTTGGCTTCGCATAAGATGTATGTTTGATCAGTTACGCATGAAATGTGTTTAAGACAATTCTTGGATATTTTCATAATATATTAGTGCTTAAGAAATTATTCATCGAACGAAGCTTATCTACCACATTTGCTTAGTCCGAGGGTATACAAAATATATAAATCTGAGCTCATTCCGTACAAGTCGTCAAAGCCCAAGGTCAACTCGCATTTTCAAGTGCTCCGTGCCCCAGGCAATAAACAGATCATGTGCAACTTTTTGTGAGTGTTTCTCTAAAGTTGGAATTAAAATAAACACAATAAATAAACGAAAAAAAAAGCGACACGGAAAATATGTGCAAAACAGCTTAAGTTATTTGCTGTAAACAGCTGTCGTTGAGTTGGATATTTGCACTTAATTAGGCGGGCGGACAACTAACAAGCTACATCCACCCACCAACCCACCAAACCTACCCAACCACCGCTTACCTCACAGATTTCTAAAAACTTTACAAAAACAAAATGCTTTTTGGCGGCAAAGTACAAACAGTGAAAAAATTTGAGCACAGTTTATTTAAGTTCTGTAATTGGCCTTTTGTTATTATTATTATTATTTCTTTTAATGTATGATTATTTATTTTTGCTATCATCAAATGAACATTTTCACGGTTGTGTATATTATGGGTATATAAATGCACATTATTTGGTTGTTTGTCATGGGCTTCTCTGTGTACGTTGAAAGGCAAATACAAATTAATACGAGTTGTTGGGCACGTTCGGCTGCTTAATGGAATAAATAATTAAGTCAGTATGTCAGTCAATAATGTATGTACACAGCTCTGATATTCCTAAGCTTTAATCAAGTAAAGTTTTGTGAACATTGTCTATAAAGTTCAAGAATGACAAAAATGTTGCAAAAGTTGTTTAAATTTACGGATTTACAGATTATTATTGATATTTTTGTACAATATTTTTTAAATGAAGAGCCTTACTTTTCTTTTTGACTTGAACTAGTTTCGAGTCGGTTAACTTTTAGATGTTTGCTTGGAAAACTTGATCGGTATTGAGCGTATTTACCTAATTTAGATGCGTCGCAATTGCCAGACACTCAGCCAGACGCCATAAAACAAACAACACCACCAACAACAACGCCAACTACAGCAATAGCAACAGAAATAAACTGCAAAAATAGGTTCAATTACAGCTGAACAATAAAACTGAAAATGAAATCATATAAACTGTGTGTCTGACCTTTGGCTGAGTAATTGAATACACATAGAATTTATGAGAGTATCTGCAATGCAGGTCCATAAATTGCAGCTACTAATTAAATTAGCCAATGACATTGAAGATTTAGAGCGGGAGGTTCCGGCCGTCAGGGCTTGACAATGAAAATTCCACTCATATCGCCCGTGTACGTGTACGTGTACTGGTTTATTGATAAGATTCTAGTTCAGTTGGGTCACATGCAGTTGATTGATCTGTGCTACGTCCCGAAGTGTATATGGCTCAAATGATTCCCGCTAATTGTTATTTAAGCAGTTCACACAGCTCAATAAACAACCAATGGCATTTGTTTATCGTGTTTGTTGCCTCCTCTTTTTGGTTGTGGGCAGCCCAGACAATGACCAGTCCTGGCCATGCATTGTTCGATCGCATTACGTAATTACGCATACTCCATGTGAAAACATGCTATTGGAAAAACAAAAAAGCAAACACAGCGTACAAATTGCCAGCGAAAGTAAATACGCGGTATGCAAAAGTTTTGCTTTTTTTATTATTATTTTTTTTTTTATTGATGAGGTTCGAACATGTGATTGATAGCACGAGGCTGCGCCCCGAGTCGGATGGATAGATAAATAAGCCACAAATTGTGCGGGGAGCGTGTGGCCATTATACAACCCAATTGATAAAAACCCAACGAAGGAACCACACTATAGATCGATAGATCTATATCCATAAAATGATGTTGTCAAGGCACCACTATAAGTGAGCTATCAATAGAATAATATAGTTTATTTATTTATTTTTCACTCTTGGAGCTATTTTTGAATGGTATTATATTTGATTAATTTCATAACCAACATAATACATAATTATAATTTATTATGGAACAGACTTTGTTATCTGTTCCAAATTGAGTTGATATAGATTGCTAATGCTCATTGAATGTGTTAATATATATAAATATTACAAACAGAGTAGTATAAGAAGCTATTTGTAATTTGCTTCAACAGAACGTAGTCTAAACGACAATTCAGATTCGACATACTGCAGTACGTTACACACAGTTAATTAATATAATGTCAGACTGTGTAATTAGCTGAGTCTTACTGTGACTTCGACTTACTTTAGTTTCTTTTCGAGAAACGTTCTTTTTTTCTTTCTTTCTTTTCATTATTTCATCAACTTGAAGCGCTTTAATTCAATTTCAAAATACTTTATGATTATCTGATCCGACTTAGTGATATTATTCTATGGATCTATCATAAAGTCCTTAATATACGCGGATCTTAGGCAATAGTATAGTACTATGAAATAAATTAAATAAATTATAATGCCAACAGGTTTTCTTACTGTGGTCTGTAAACTGTCTTAAATCAATACGGGGATTTGGTTGATTTTGAGCGTTGACAGCTTTAGGAATGCTAGCTAATAGATCATGTATGCATCGCAGAGGGTCTTTCGTAATACTCTTCCAGTTTTAAGGAAACTTGGCTATCCAAGAATCCCACAAGACTTCAACATGACTTCCACGTACTAGTGTTATTCTCTTTGAGAGAATGAGATTGGGGAGTTCATGAGTTGCTAATTTATATCAGTTAAAGCACAATACATATAAATAGGCACATATTCATATATTATTCCAATTGCCAAGTGCCCATCAATTAAATTTCTAGCTTGTGGCATTTGTGGACTTTGGGCATACTTAACAACGCTTAAGCATATTATAAATATGTTATAAATTAGCTAGAACCATAATAGGTAACACTGAATTGGTTATTTATGATTAATAAATGCCACAGATTACATGTACATATGTATATAGATATATATTAAAAAGTGTTCGAGTGGGTAACACCAATGTGAGTTGATTAACATTGAATTCATGTGATAAACAAAGAATGAGTAATTGATTGTCTTAGCTTTGAAAAAAACAGCAACTTAAAAGTGTCCTATCAAAAGTTTCTCAGCAAGTGACTCACCTGCTTTGTAAGCATTATAAAAATGCTTTAAACTGGGCTGAGTGGCCATAAAATCAAATAGTTTATAGAAAGCAGTCGCCGCATTGTCAAGGTGCTGCTCCAAAAAGAAACTAAACTAAACTATATAAAATTAAAATTAATTTCAATAAAAATCGAAAAATAATTCGCTAAACGAACTTTGATTTTGGGTTTCACCTCAAATTAAAGTTGATTATGATTGGGCAAAAAAAAAAAAAGAAGAAAAAAAATAATTTGCATTTGACTAATTTTTGTTACTTCTTTTTCTCCAACTTTTTGGTAACATTTTTTACAGCTAAACACAGTCGAGGAACCGTTAACATACGGAAAGTAAAAGCGCGTATCTGATACAAACGAGCCACACACTCTCTCGCACACATCTACCTTGGCACACGCATACATACACACGCACATTCGCAACATGGCCGATACCATCAACAAGCCCAGCATACAAATTCGCAGTGGTCTGCCCTCGCCTCTCAGCGACAAGAGCCCCTCACCGGCCACGAAGCTGTTGATCAGCCACGGCAAGCCGAACTTCACCATCGCCCGTTCACCCAAGCTGGAAGACAATGATGGCCAGCTTCCGCTGTCGCCGCAACCGAATGCCAACAACAACTACAATCCCTACAAGTGCGCCGGCTATAACAACAACAGCAACCCCAACAAATTTGTGGTTGGCACCAAGTTCAATGGCGTCTTCAAGCCATCCACAGCAGCCGCCAGCTGGGCGAACAGCAATGGCAACGGTACTGCGGAACAGAATGAAGCCGCCAAGGTGGTGCTGCGTCGCCCGAAGCTGGCCGGTTCGGAAGCACCGGCGGCTGCAGCTGGGGACGATGAGAATGTACCGGAGTTTATACTGCGCCAGCGACGCATTCAGGAGCGTTTGGCCAAGGAGAATGTGCTGGACTTTGAGAATCGGCGCAGTGGCTACTTCACCCACGTCATGATCTCGCCGGATTCACCTAATCGTACCTCTTTTGCTGAGACTATGGCCAGCCCGGCTGTAGTTCCTTCTCTGGAGATGCCTTTGCCGACCAAGATTGAGGAGCAGCAGGGAGACAAGCGGGAGCAGGAGCAGAAGCAAGTTGTTTCCATTGCGAATGGTCACAGATCAGAATTGGACCAGCCGGCGGTGCATACCAATGGTCACAATGGGGTGGTAGTGGTAGAGGGAGAGGTAGAGAAGGATAAGGAGGAGCCGAAACAAGAGCAGGAACAGGCGCAAGAGCAGCAACAAGAGCAGCCCCTCAGCAATGGACAGGCGAATGATGATGTGGCGCCTGAGGAGGTGGCCAAGGCCATAGAAGAGGTTAACAAGGCTGTTGCCGGCGAAGATGACGACGTCAAAGCGGAATCGGAGCAAGCAGAGGTTCACGTTGAAGCAGCACCAATAGCGGTAGCTGCAGCCACAGTTGCAGCTGTTGAAGTGCCGCCGGCTGCCGTAGAGGCACAGGTCGAGGTGGTTACTCCAGCGGCATCCACTGAAAACCGCGTCGCTACTGAGGAATCTAGCATCACCATTTCTCATACGAACGGACACTCCAGCGAGCACCCTACCGTAGCAACGGCCGATCCAAGCGGCGCGCTGGGCGTCAACTATGAGCCGAAGACGGTGGTCAGCTTCTCACAAGAGCTGGGCGCTGGCGAAAACAACTACCCCGACACGGTGCTGGTGACCAAGGAGGTGCCCGCCTCGCCTGCTGATGCACAGCTGCAGGAGTTGACCAAGCTAAAGTTCGATATACAAAGTGATGAGAAGAACGAGGTGCAGGTGACACCCGTCCTGCGTGCGGAGTAGGCTCCTGAAGCTCCTCTTCTCGTCCAACACCAAAATCCCCTAGTGGGTTCCTAGTGCAATTTGTTATTAATCAAAAAGAAAGATAAACAAAGCGAGAAATGAAAACTTAAAATCTTTGTGTATTTTGCGTTAGAGACTAAGTTCATTATGAGAAATATTGCCAAATTTAATTTTATGCTTTTGCGCATCAGTCAGTATACGTGTACGCACGCATACAAACAAACACATACACTTACACTGTTGAGGCAACTGCCACGTCTGGGGCTTCCGCCTCTTGTGCCTGGCCACCAGCTACACTATGTTTACTTCAAAAACAATTTGCTTTATTTAAATAAATTATTATTACAAACGAAATGCGATAATGTGCTGATTTTAATTATTAACTGGATCCCAAACCTTTGTTTGTACGGCTCTTCGAATTAGGGCAACTCAATCTGGCCAAGTGTTTGCTTTATTTACATATATCTTAAGCTTATTTGAACATTTTTTTTTTATTGTAAAAATAATTTGTATATAATAATGTTGACACCAAGTCCGTTTGTCCATCAGTCCGTAAGATACAAGTCATCTCGTCGCAGCTGAAGCTAGCGTTTGGGAATACATATATAGTATATTCGTGGCCTGAAAAGGTATTTATCCGAAAATTACGCTAGTGGAAATTTTTGTAAACTTCTCAAGCCTCGACATCACAAGATAAACTTATGTTTTCTACAGTTTGGGAACCAAAAATAATTGCTCTAAAATTAAAAATAAATAAAATAAATGTAAAAAATTTAATCGCTTGAATCTGACCGTTAGTAGGGTTACCTAGTCTTCTAAAGGTTAATTAAAAAGGTTTTTAATTATTTATATAACGATATTTAAAATATATGCAAGCACGAGACAGACTAAAATATAATTAAATCAGGCTTAGTACTAGCTTACTTTAACAGTTATTAGAACATGAAAATGAATAGTAAGGTCTTTCATGCTGAATAGTGTTGCAAGCATCATTAGCATATCACTTGCCCTTGAAAATAGAATGTAGTTGGAAATCATCTGTGCAAAAATCGTGAATAAATATAACTCTATTCTAAACAATTGAACTTTGATATTCGGAAGGTACAACTGGGCTGTCCTTCAGCAGTAAGATATAAATGTCTTTGAATACATTCTTGAAATAATGAAATTCTTTAATGGCAATGATTGATCGCTTGATGGGCGTGAATGGTATATCGATACTTGCTTAAAAATATATGTATAGCAGCTTTAGGGTCTTGAACGTTGTGAGGCAAGCACCTGTATTGTCTAACTCTGCATTTAGCCGTGAGTTTGTCGAGCGTGACGCTCGTGACCCATGGTAACCATGTCTAGGTTGGCTTCGGGGGTTGCATTGCTGACCAACATCTGCTGGGCACATGTCCTGACCGGCGACAGCGTTTAATCGATACTTTGGCCAGGGGCTGTTATATTCATTTTCTATATATATATGTACATATACATGTACAGAGAGTGGCCAAAACAAAAGCGACCATGGGCCAAAAAAGTTTTCGAATTAAATCAGTTGGCTGTGGAGCTGCCGTCAGTTCAGCTCAATGCAGCAAGCTTCGGAAAAAAGGTAGCCCTAGCTGAATGAAAAGTGAAAAGCGAGTGTCAAAGTTGTGTCGTGTGCGAATTTTTATACTATTATGGATTTATGTCTTAGAGGCTCCCAGGTAGGTAGACATACTAAGTAGGGTTCTGGGCTATTCTTGTACTGTCGTGTCGTTCTCCTCGCATATATAGATAAACCTCGCCGCTAGACAAAAAACGAAGCCCAAGTACAATAGTCGCTCCCTGACTACGCTACACAGCCCGACGCCGCATTTTCGTCCACGTTCGGCCAACTTTCTGCAGCAACGCAGTCGCTCCTCGCCCTTCCTGGGACGACCGCAGTCGGCGGATCCCAAGTTCGGACGTAAGCTAAGCGTTTACTTTGGTGACAAGGAGCTGCGGCACAATAAGCACGTGAGTACCAGCTGTCAGACCATGGAAGATTAAAAGAGAGTAGTGTAGTCGAGTATAAAATGCACCAAAATTTAGTGTTTTACACAAAATTAAACAAAAAAAGAAAATTAAAAAAATAAGACAAAAAATAAGATAATTATATTTTATTTATTTTCGTTCAAATTATAATAAAATAAAGTATAATCCGGTTATAACGATACTCAGGGGACCGTCGTAATACTTGGAAGTCTCTATATAAGTTTGCCTAGATACCCGAATTTCCATCTCAATAACTAAGCTAAAAGCGGAGTCGTTTTAATGGGATCCTACTGTATTTGTGTTGTGAAATAGAGCATTTAATTATTAAGCTTGAGCTATAGCGAATTTTTGTTCTTTTTAAATACAATATAGTACTCAATTATATTTGTATTCTGCCAGGTCCAAGACTGATTGGTAATCGAGTTTATGTAATTATATTGATAACTTTTATGGTTATTCGAGCTATTTATTTTTCTCCGGGTATTTCATTTCTACTACCTTCTATTTGGCAGGCTCAAGTTTCTTCCACGGATCTGCTCAAATCGCTGTTAGAGGAGCCCATCAAGCGCAGCTGGCTGTGCCGCAGCACCTGCAATTCATCCACCGACGAACAGTCGGATTTCTCGCAGAAGTCAGAAGTCAGAAGTCACAGCAGCGAGGGTGAGCAGCTGGAACGTTTTCTGAGCAGAATGCCGGGCACAGGCTCAGCCACAGGTACAGGCACGGACAAAGCCAAATCGTATGCTTCCAATTGGTCGGCGGGCAAGAGTCAGGGCCTTAGCAATGCGACGCTACTGCAAGTGACTGCTAAGCCAGATTTGCCGGGTCGTGTGTCGTTCAGCAAGCCGAACAGCAGCAGTCAGCACAATGATGTCGATTCCAGTGACTGCGACAATGATAAGCAGGATATAAGCAGCCACAGTGTTAATATCTCAGCTCCAGGTCCTCTAACACTGCCCAGCTTTAGCTATAATGGGAACGGAAATAAGTTGGAACCGGGCGACGCCAGTGGACAAAAGAAATCTGTGCACTTCGGCAGTCCAAATGCTGGGAGCGGCAGTGCCGAGGTGCTGGCTGAGACCTATGAGTATCCCAAATGCCCGTCGGAAAACTGCACCTGCAGTACCCGCTCCTCCTCCACGGCCAGCACCGACGAAGCCACCGCTGACATCAAATGCTCCTGCGATGCGCCCACTTGTCGCTTTGCGGAGATCAAGCCACAGTTGCCCCTGTCTGCGCCCACGCCCAAGTCTGTCACGCCGGAGCCGAGTGTAATCAGCGAGTATAAGCAGGCGGTGGGTGAGTCGATGGTTAAAACCCTGAAGCCGCTGGAGCCATTAAACAACATGGAATTGCCTAACTATTTGGATAAGTATGCAGCACAGACCAAGGATAAGCAGAACAATTTGTCTGAGAAGAATCTTAGTCCAGTGAATGGCAGCAATAACAGCAACCACGATCAGAGTAACAGTGGCGCCACCTACCGCTCGACTGGGCAACGCAATTTTGGCGCTGAGAATAATTTTCTGCCCATTGTGCAGGAGGATCGCAGAAATTTCGGCAACAGCGGCGCTGATTCTGTCATTAGCAATTATCTAAAGATTGCTGGCACTCCCCCATTTGTGGGCAAAAAGAAGGAGAATGTGAAGCCAACCAGTGCAGAGGCCAGCAGACGAAACAGCAACAAGACCACATTTCTGGCCAAAAGCCCAACAATTGGCTCCTCCGGCAAGCTGAAGAAGGCCGTCAGTGTGGGTAGCCTGCGAGAGGAGCGCAAGCTGACCGAGTACAACCTGGATAAGGTAGACAGTTGGATGAGCATCCACGAGCAGAAGCAGGCGCTTGCCCAGTTCGAGGAGCTACACAAACAGGGCGTGGACGAGCTGGACGAGGGTAACGACAATGACAATGACAACGACAGTGGCTCGCAATTGTCGCTTAAATCGAACGAGGACTCCAGAGGCTCGACCTACGATGAGATTGTGTCAGTTATCAAAGAAATTGAGGAGGATAAGAAACGGGGTTCGCTTGCAGAACAATTTTGATAATTTATTTGATTTACATATATGAATAAACATCTTTCAGATAATTTTGCTGAGCGTCTGCCAAGCGATCTGAACTTGAAGCTATCCAGCTCAAGAGCGGACACGACGGATTCGGTTAGCCAAATCGGTGACAAGATGCCCGAAAGTGGCGACAAGTACAAGTGAGTGGAAAACTACTGGAATAATTATGGTATTTTAGTCTTTATAGCAAGGAAAATGTATTTGATCTTTTTTTTTCAATTACAATTTCAAAATGGGTTGTGGATATATAATACAAATGTTATTCGGCCCAAGGCTCAATTATATAAACCTCTTTGATTTCAAAATACTAAGAGCTTGGAAAAATAAATATGTTTAACAGAGATTATCGTTAAGCAAAGAAAATTCACTGAGTGATATATAATTTATATGTAGGTATATACCCACACGAACTTAACCTAGATAAAGTTGTGTAGAACTAGTTTAGTTATAGTTTTTAAAACAGGTTTAAATATATTTCAACTGATCACCTTCACATAATGACCTATATTGTAGAATATGAATAGATAAAGAACGTGGATTGACTATGAAACTTAGCAGAAACTACACATCTTTAAACTGAATCCGATATTTTAAAATCTTTGCAGAGACATTTTGGCATATCTGAATAATGTGGAGAGCAGCTGTGACAAAACTCTGATGGAAACCCGTCGTTCTATCCCGGACACCAATCGGTCCGAAGTAGAGTTTGTCATGGAGCCGGACGTGACTGATGAGGTGCCCAAGTGAGTTGTAGTTGTATCTATGTATGTATATGATTATAGGCAACTTATGCTATAAGATTATTGTTCCCTTAAAGACTCTCCGAGCTGCTAATGCTTCCCAACCACCAGCTGGCTAGACGGGTCATTGCGCTCAGCTTACGCGCCAACGAGCTGGCCAATGCTATTCATATGTCCAAGGAGCATGTGATTCAACTGCGCAGCGAGAAGCAGAAGTCTATCCGTGCCGAAAAGTCCAACAGCGCTACGAAAATGCGCGATCAGAAGAAGCATTACGAGGAGGTTGTGACGCGTCATCAGGGCTTCATAGAGCAGCTGCTCAAGGATAAGGGGGCGCTCTGCGAGAAGGTGGCTGCATTAACGCGTCGCCTGGAGAGTCAGAATCAAGCCTGGGAGCATCGACTCGAAACCGAACTAGCTCGCACCAAGGAGACAACTCTAGCGGGTGAGAAGATCCGACGCGAGCGTTGGGTGCGAGAGAATACCAAGAAAATTAAGGTGGGTGTAGGGTCACTTTAACTTGATAAAGATAGTGATCTACATATGTATGTGTATGTGTATGTATGTACTTATTCAGATTTTATTGATGCGTTAACTGAATATGTCTATCGATGAATTGATGATTATAAGATTAGCTGAGAATGTCTATCGATTAATTTATATTATTTTCGTAGAAACGCAGAGCTACACTTTTTCAAATAAAACTAAGATCTACTCGCTCCAGATGTCGATAATTTCTAGAAAACGAAACTGCAAATCTCTAAAGTAAATTAATTATAATGAAAACTATTTGCATTTTTATACCCTGAACGCGTTGAAAATGGTAAATCAAGGTATATGGTTTTGTTGAAATGTATGTAACAGGCAGAAGGAGGCGTGGCAGACACCACAAAGTATATTTATTCTTGATCAAGGCGACGAGCTGAGTCCATTTAGCCTTGTCCGTCTGTCTGTCCTGAGTTTCATAGCGAGCAGTCTCGACTAGAGCTTTCTTACTTGTTCTTATTGTACTCCTTCACGAAAGTGAAATGAGCATATTGATTTTGTGCAATGTCCGTCTTCATTGTCTGTTTGCATGAACATATACATACATATAGTTGGAAAACAGAGAGCAATAGACTAGTATTGTGAATTAATTAATTCATTTAAAATTGGGCACAATGGCTATTTACATATGGCAAAATTGTTCTCCAACAGGAACTCACGGTCAAAGGCCTAGAGGCGGAGATCAACAAAATGAATTGTGATCATCAGCGCGAGGTGACGGAGTTGAAGCGTGCGCATCAGATGCAGCTGCTAGATGCACTGGAGGAGGCGCGGCTAAAGCACGAACAAATCGAGCATGCAATTCGCGAAAGTTGCGCCCAGGATCGTGAGAGCATCATTGAGAAGGAACGTACGGCCATACGAGAGCGTTTTGAGCGTCAGCTGGAGGAGGAGCAGAAAACCCAGGCCGAGCTGCGACAGAAACTTGCCGATGATTTTGCCGCAGAGCGCGAACGTCTGCAGGTGGAGCTGCGGCAAAAGGAAGCCGAATACCTAGCCAAGCGACAGGAGACGCAGCGGGACCACGAGAGCGAGCTAGAGCAGGCTAAGTTTGAAATGCAGGAAAAGATGGCCAAGCAGGAAGAGAAGTATCAGAATCGCATTAATACCGTCGAGCAGCAATACTTAGCTGACTTTGAATTGTGGAAAACCGAATTCGAGAACAAATCCAAGCTGGCCTTAGCTGAGAAGGAGAATGCCATAAGGCAGCACTATAGAGCCGAGCGAGATCGACAGTTAGACGAGTTGGTGGTGCGTATGGAGGCAGACGCACTCCAAAGCAGCGAGGAGCACGAGCAAAAGATACTGTAAGTATAAATAATAACTGTACAAGTTGCCAATTAATGCTCCATCTATAGACGTCTCAAGGAGAAGTTCGAGAAGGATTTACAGTTGGCTGAGAACGTGGAAAAGTCACTGAGGGAAAAGTATGCCGACACACGTGAGAAGTTGGCCGAGGCTGATGCTCAGGTGCGCAATAGCCAGGCAGAAGTGAAACAGCTCCAAATGGAGCTCAGCCACAGCAAAAAAATGTGCGGCGACTTCATCAACGAGCGGGACAAGCTGCGCGAAAGCCTGAATGCGGATATACAAAGCGAGCTAAATGTGCTCAACGAGCGCCACAAACAGGAAATGGAACAGCTGCAGAAGAGGTAAAGAGCTGATGATGTAACCAATATATAGATCAGATTTATTCCTTGCGTACCCTGAACCCATTGAAAATGGGAAAACAGGGTAACATGGTCTTGTTGAAATGTATGTAAAAGACAGAAGGAGGCGTGGCAGACCCGACAAAGTATATATATTCTTGATCAGAGCGACGAGCTGACTGGATTTAGCCATGTCCGTCTGTCTGTCTGTCCGTCCGACAGTCCGACTCCCGATATTTTATTATCGATTAAAAACCTTATCGAAAGCTAGTTATTTAATTAT